GATGAGGTCAAGCGTATTGCCTGCCTTGTGAGTAGGGGGGGACGGTGAGAGGGTGAGGTCGAAAGAGGAGAGGAGTGGAAAGAAGGAGGCAGAGAGAAATGAGTCAAAGGTAGACGTAGGGAGGTTGAAGTCCCCCAGAACTGTGAGGGGTGAGCCATCCTCAGGAAAGGAACTTATCAAGGCGTCAAGCTCATTGATGAACTCTCCAAGGGAACCTGGAGGGCGATAAATGATAAGGATGTTAAGCTTGAATGGGCTAGTGACTGTGCCAGCATGGCATTTAAATGAGGAGATAGACAGATGGGTCAGGGGAGAAAGAGAGAATGTCCACTTGGGAGAGATGAGGATTCCTGTGCCACCACCCCGCTGACCAGATGCTCTCGGGGTATGCGAGAACACATGGTCAGACGAGGAGAGAGCAGTAGGAGTAGCAGTGTTTTCAGTGGTAATCCATGTTTCCGTCAGCGCCAAGAAGTCGAGGGACTGGAGGGTAGCATAGGCTGAGATGAACTCTGCCTTGTTGGCCGCAGAACGGCAGTTCCAGAGGCTGCTGGAGACCTGGAACTCCACGTGGGTCGTGCGTGCAGGGACTACCAGGTTAGAGTGGCAGCAGCCACGCGGTGTGAGGCATTTGTATAGCCTGTGCGGAGAGGAGAGAACAGGGATAGACAGACGCATAGTTGACAGGCTACAGAAAATGGCTACAATAATGCAAAGGAGATCTGAATGAAATGAACTAAACATCTGGGAAAGCGAGAGAGCGGGGCCTCCCTCACTTACGTTTCACGGAAACACCCAAATATAACTCTCCCAACTTCCACCTCAGAAACGATAATTGTTGTAAACTACAGCGGTTCAATGTTTTCTAGGAATAGACTAACTTAGTTTATTCAGCTAGCTAACTTGGTACAGTATTCTTCCGTGAAAACCGTCCAGGGCACCGAATCCTATGACGCCACAGCCAACTAGCATGCCAGCCTCCAACAACACGGTTTAGCACCAATACTCGGCCACAACAAACCACCAGTGTGTCAACACGCCAAGCAGATCATTCATGTCCGTGTCTAACGTTGTGTAAAGTTTTGGGTTAGTCCCGACAGCTTGAGCGAGTCCGTCGTCAACTTATTCAGCCAGTTAGTTAGCTAGAATAGTTAGCATACTAGCTAGCCATTGCTTTCTGCCAACGAAACCCTCCTCCCACGGCACGAACACACAGAGAGAGCCAAGCTAACGTTAACTAGTCACCCATGTCCCAAATTCCCTTGAACGACTCTGGTTACCAGTATGTAAAAACAAAACACAAATGTAGGTTATAACTTACCCCTAGCAGCTACTGTTAGCCAGCCAAATATAAAGCTAGCCACTGAATCGACTCAGCCAGTTCGCGTCTGTTCGCTAGGTCGTTCCAGCTATTGTCTAGTTAGCTATCCAGGTAACAACAAGCTAGCTACATTTCGAGCACAGTAGCTACTAACTACCTAATGCCAACGCTTCAGACAGAGAGGCAACAAAGAGACCGAAGATAACCCTGAAGGAGCTGCAAAGCTCCACAGCGGAGATTGGAGTATCTGTCCATAGGACCACTTTAAGCCGTTCACTCCACAGAGCTGGGCTTTACGGAAGAGTGGCCAGAAAAAAGCCATTGCTTAAAGAAAAAAATAGGCAAACACGTTTGTTGTTCACCAAAAGCCATGTGAGAGACTCCCCAAACATATGGAAGAAGGTACTCTGGTCAGATGACACTAAAATTGAGCTTTTTGGCCATCAAGGAAAACACTATGTCTGGCGCAAACCCAACACCTCTCATCACCCCGAGAACACCATCCCCAAAGTGAAGCATGGTGGCAGCAGCATCATGCTGTGGGGATATTTTTCATTGGCAGGGACTGGGAAACTGGTCAGAATTGAAGGAATGATGGATGCCACTAAATACAGGGAAATTCTTGAGGGAAACCTGTTTCAGTCTTCCAGAGATTTGAGACTGGGACGGAGGTTCACCTTCCAGCAGGACAATGACCCTAAGCATACTGCTAAAGCAACACTCGAGTGGTTTAAGGGGAAACATTTAAATGTCTTGGAATGGCCTAGTCAAAGCTCAGACCTCAATCCAATTGAGAATCTGTGGTATGACTTAAAGATTGCTGTAAACAAGCGGAACCCATCCAACTTGAAGGAGCTGGAGCAGTTTTGCCTTGAAGAATGGGCAAAAATCCCAGTGGTTAGAGATGCCAAGCTTATAGAGACATACCCCCTTTGCAGCTGTAATTGCTGCAAAAGATGGCTCTACAAAGTATTTACTTTTGGAGGGTGAATATTTATGCACGCTCAAGTTTTCTGTTTTTTTGTCTTATTTTGTTTTACAATAAAAATAATTTGCATCTTCAATGTGGTAGGCATGTTGTGTAAATCAAATGATACAAACCCCCCAAAAATCCTTTTTAATTCCAGGTTTAATTCCAATTAAGGCAACAAAATAGGAAAAATGCCAAAGGGGGTGAATACTTTCGCAAGCCATTGTATAGCAATGGTTATCAACTGTACTGCAGGGATGGAACGTAAGTCGCAGAAAATTGAGGTTGTGGTGGCAGCTGCAGAGAGGTATTTGTCCACTAAAATGGAATTGCTCCTGAGGGTTAAACAGTGAAGAAGCTGATAAGAAAGCTCATTTGAAGTGGATTGCATAATGTGTGTGTGTATGTGTGTGTGGGTGTGTGTGTGCATGCATGTATAGTGTGTGTCTGCACGCTTCAGTATTAAAGTGTGTATATGACTTTGCCCAGTCTGTATTGAAAGGGCAACCTGCCATAAGCTAATGGATCAATTACATAAAAACAACTGTGCAGTCATTATATATCATAGCAAAACATTTTCATGGATCTAATTTGATTCATTTGTCAAATTTAAGAAGAGAAAGTATTTGCAGACCAGCCACTACAAATCCACTTTAGTTTTTTTATATTATATTTACATTTTAGCAGACGCTTTTATCCAGAGCAATTAGGGTTAAGTGCCTTGCTCAAGGGCACATCGATAGATTTTTCACCTAGTCGGCTCAGGGATTAGAACCAGCGACCTTTCGGTTACTGGCACAACGCTCTTAACCACTAAGCTACCTGCCGCCAGTTTTCAGGATATTATACAGAATTATAGCTGTATCACTTCATGAGCAGGTCCTGAAATGGGGCAATCTGTGATTGGTACATCCATTTTTTGACTTTTAATAAAGACATTGATTCTTGAAGAATATAACCGCTTTGTTGCTTTTTGAAACCCAGATTGCCTTTGTCAATATTGCCAGTGTCATATTTGCTGGCTCTGATGAGATCAAAGTCCATAGCCTAACTCATATGGTCTGTGTTAAAGGGATAATCTGTGATTCAAAAAACAACAACGCAGTTTCCCTGGCCTTTAAAGAGACAGGCAACTTCATCTCAATCATACACCAGTGCCTGACCAGAACAAATAAACTCAAACCTTTGTGTGTGTGTATTTGGGTGTGCGTGTGAGTGCGTGTGCATGTGTGTGAAAAACAATGCCCATAGGTCTCCTGGAGTCGTATAATATAAGAATAACAATAACAACTGAATGACTAAAAAGCGCCCTAAGGAAAAGCAAAGCAAAAAAGGTGTTTTAAGATCTCTTTTAAAAATGTCGACAGTTTCGGCCCCCCTCAGGTTCTCTGGCAGGCTATTCCAGAGGCTAGGGGCATAGTAACTAAAGGCTGCCTTTCCTTGCCTCTCCTTGCCTCTTTGTCCTAGGCTTTGGGATAGTTAAAAGGCCAGTGCCAGAAGACCTGAGGGACCTACGGGGTACATAACTTAAAAGCATGTCTGACATGTATTGGGGTGCACAATCATGGATTGATTTAAAAACCAATAGAATAAAATTCACAGGCAGCCAGTGCAGAGACCTTAAAACCGGCATAATGTGTGCTCTCCATCTGGTCTTGGTCAGTACCCGTGCTGCAGCAATCTGTATGTTTTGCAGTTGACCAATGGCTTTCTTGGGTAGACCAGACAGGAGAGCATTACAGTAGTCAAGCCTGCTTGTAATAAAAGCATGGATGAGTCTCTCTGTATCAGCCTGAGAGAGAAACAGCCGCACCTTGGCAATGTTCCTCAGGTGGTAAAAAGCTATTTTGGTCACATGGAGACTTCTCTCAGCTAGATAGATAAAGCATCGGAGAGGATTAGGGAGGACAGGGGTCAGTTGACCAGAAAGGATTTGGGGAGGAACACACAAGGAATGAGGTCTTTGCACTTTAGTTCCGCTACATCAGCAGGAAACCAACAGGAGGCAGCAGCCTTGTGGGAGATTAGCAGGAGATTTTGAGAAGAAAGGAAAAGCCTTGTGAATGGAGTTCAATTCCTTTCGGCAAGCTGCACTAAGGCACACACAAGGCTCCCTCGATCCCCCCGAAATTAGGCACGGAGAACGGAAGATCCCCCCCATAAACAGATTAAGGAAGAAGGGGGGAGGTAGGGAGGCATTCCGCTACCCAGACGCTGAGAGGGAGGGATGAGAGGGAGGACAGGAGAGAAGAGAAGAGGGGAGGGGAGGATAGAGGGAGGATGTGGGGAAGGAGGGTGAATAAGGGAGGTTAGGAGAAGAACAGGGGATTATTAAGAGAGAGGAGAGGGGAGGATAGGTGAGGGTAGGATAGGGGGAGGGGGAGGGCCCCCATAGACAGTGTTATTTGTACATTAGACTAACTAGACTGGCCTATTCCCTACTGGAGCTGTTTCTGTGGGAACGGCTAGCATGTTGCAAATAATAATACCTGTAATAAATAAATGTACCTTTTTTACACAAGCACCACAGCAGGTGTGGACTTAGTAATTAGACTCACTTCTTCCTTTGTCCAGACAGGAATGCAATAAGGAAGACTGAACCATATCATCCTGTCATCTGTTGACAGGTTTACCCTACAGTAAGTCTGGGTCCAGGATGGAGCTGGTTCTATCTGCTGTAAACCCTCCAGATGCCCTGCTAGCCCGAGGTTAGACCAGGGGCTCACCTGGTTCAGTATCCCAGTATAGATGCTCCTCAGATGGGTCAGTACTCACCCTGGTGTCAACGTTGGTGGGTCTGGGGCCGTGACTGAAGGCCTGTGCTGGGTCCTTGTGGTACACCTTCAGGCAGGAGTGATCCGTGATATTCCTGTAGGGGGAGGGAGAAACGTCCAGAGGGAAATGAGGAGCCCAGAATATATCACTATTGGACAGCGGTCCCCTATACCCAGACATTGGCGTACACGCTGACATGTCTATGTCATACACAGTCCACAGTCTGATGTACTGGCTGTAATGAGCCATCATGGTGTTGTGTCCAATAGGCCCAAAACGTGTCCAGTGGTGTTACGGTGAAAAGTATCCCTCAAATAAATCAATAAAGCTACATCTCGTCTTTGTTTTCCGTGTCAATTATTGCTCATGTGCCCTCTACTACTGAGCCAGCCAGCAAGGAATGAACATGTGATCACTTTTACAGCCCTGATAAAAAAGGTTAGAGCTAGTCACAAAGTACACATCACACCACCGCAAGAACACTACAGATAGAGATAGAGCCAGAATACTTGTTTTTCCCATTGAGCCTTCAAAATCACAGGAGGCTGCTGAGGGGAGGATGGCTCATACTAATGGCTGGAACAGAGCAAATGGAATGATACCATTCCACTCATTGCGCTCCAGCCATTACCACGAGCCCATCCTCCCCACGAGCCCATCCTCCCAAATCCTGTGTTTAAAATTGAGTATAATCGCCCATTTGCTGTAAGCCTGTATTCTACAGACATTTAAATATTTAATATTTTAAATGTAAATGTAAAAACAGGTCCTGTATGCACTGTCAGTTCATTGTCCTGGGTATTGAATAGTAACTTATATGTATTGTTGGATTTTATGTAGTACCAGGATGTGGGCTAACTAGGTGAAGGTGATTGATGATGTGACTGTGTGTGGGCATGACTGTGAGGGCAAGAAACCCTTGTCACTGTTGTCTTACGAGTCATACCCCTCTGTAAAACTCAAAAGAACAGAGACGACTTCTTAACTAATGCTAAAGCTACATGTGCCTGTGCAAAGAGTCACTTAGTGCACAGAGAGGAGAAGACAGACAGAATGTGGCCACCTTGGCTACAGCTCACTCACTCACTTTAAATCTGCGGCTCTGGAACAAACAAGACTGTTTATGGGTTATTTTCCGTTCCTTTTGTCCTGCCAACTGAGCAGCGATGAAACGTGTCAAAACACATGAAATCGTCCACAGTTGAACTTTCCACTGGTACTGGACAAAAAAAACACACCCATTTACCTGACGTCGGTGAGCTCGTAGTACATGTTCCTCATGTCGTCTTTGACATAGACAGCCACACTGGGAGACTCCAGCATCTTCATGGTGAGCTGCTGGGGGAAGGCACTCACAAACAGAGCCCTGATGGTGTCTCCACTGGTGATTTCATTGGGCATCCGGATCTGCTTGGTCTCGTCTCCGTACTGCAGGTACAGCACACCTGGGGAGAAGAGAGGGAGGTGAGGGGGTTAATGGAGGGTGACTGAGGGGTTAATGATTGGTTGATGATGATCTGGTGGCGCTTACCCATGTAGCTACAGAGGTGTCACATCAGTGTTGTGTCAGTGACTTTGTCCCAAATGGCACCCTATCCCCTAGGCCTATAACTCCAGTGAATAGAGTGCCCTTTGGGATGCATAGTGTATTTATGTACTATGGTGCTTGTCTTTGTGTATTGGGGCCCACCTAAATCGTGTGCAGTCATGTCCTATTATGTGCAGTCTGACATAAAGCACAAATACTACCTTTACTGTATTTACAATGATTAACTATAATATCTTTACTGTATTTACAATGAGTAACTATAATATCTTTACTGTATTTACAATGAGTAACTATAATATCTTTACTGTATTTACAATGAGTAACTATAATATCTTTACTGTATTTACAATGAGTAACTACAATATCTTTATTGTAATTAAAATGAGAATTGAGATAGTGGTGATAAAGCTAAAGACCCATAAAACTATAAGCATTGGTGTGTATGTGTGCATGCCGGCGGGTGCATACGGTACGTGTGCTTATGCAGTTCGTAAGTCATGTGGGTTGTGTGAGGGTGAGGTTGATGTGGGATGGGGAAGGGAGAGGGCTGTGGCTGTGTGTTGTGGGTGGGAAGGGTGAGCATCAGCAAAGCATCAAACAGACAAGACACTGAACTCCTGAACTCTGGGTGTGGCTTCTGTACTGCACTTCACCAAAGCATATGAAATACATTACACCCTCTCACACACAACACACCCTTGCCCACAGACAAAAACATACATTTTCAAAAGACTTGGAGCTTGACAACTTGACTGCTTTAAACATGTTATATGTCCATACAGGACAGTGCAAATAAAGAAGCCTGTGAGCTTGACTTTGTATCTTGTTTTCTAGTCAAAGCCTCATCATCTGACGTATTATAACAAATACACAGCTTATAATCACTGAAATAAGAGCTTCCTGTATACAACAGGGTACATACAGTACACATTGTGTATCATTTAGGATCCGTCACTCATTTATATGTGTACGCAATAGGACTCTGGTCAAAAGTTGAGCACTATATGGAATAGGGTGCTATTTGGGACGCAAGCCTATGCATTTTCTCACCGGTCCTCCTCGGTACAGGTACTGTATGTAGTGTATACTGATAGAGAGGAGCTTTTCCTAACTTGCAGTGGCTCCATAAAAGGAGCGGACCAGTAAAAACAACCAGATGTTTCCAATAATATTCAGTGCCTTGCAAAAGTATTCATCCCCCTTGGCATTTTTCCTATTTTGTTGCATTACAACGTGTAATTTAAATTGATTTTTATTTGGATTTCATATAATGGACATACACAAAATAGTCCAAATTGGTGAAGTGAAATGATTATTAACATTATTAAAATATTGAAAGAATATGGCACCACAACAAACCTGCCAAGAGAGGGCTGCCCACCAACACTCACGTACCAGGCAAGGAGGGCATTAATCAGAGAGGAAACAATGAGACCAAAGATAACCCTGAAGGAGCTGCAAAGCTCCACAGCGGAGATTGGAGTATCTGTCCATAGGACCACTTTAAGCCGTACACGCCACAGAGCTGGGCTTTACGGAAGAGCGGCCAGAAAAAAGCCATTGGCCAAAAGGCATGTGGGAGACTCCCCAAACATATGGAAGAAGGTACTCTGGTCAGATGACACTAAAATTGAGCTTTTTGGCCATCAAGGAAAATGCTATGTCTGGCTCAAACCCAACACCTCTCATCACCCCGAGAACACCATCCCCAAAGTGAAGCATGGTGGCAGCAGCATCATGCTGTGGGGATATTTTTCATTGGCAGGGACTGGGAAACTGGTCAGAATTGAAGGAATGATGGATGCCACTAAATACAGGGAAATTCTTGAGGGAAACCTGTTTCAGTCTTCCAGAGATTTGAGACTGGGACGGAGGTTCACCTTCCAGCAGGACAATGACCCTAAGCATACTGCTAAAGCAACACTTGAGTGGTTTAAGTGGAAACATTTAAATGTCTTGGAATGGCCTAGTCAAAGCCCAGACCTCAATCCAATTGAGAATCTGTGGTATGACTTAAAGATTGCTGTACACCAGCGGAACCCATCCAACTTGAAGGAGCTGGAGCAATTTTGCCTTGAAGAATGGGCAAAAATCCCAGTGGCTAGATGTGCCAAGCTTATAGACATACCCCAAGATACTTGCAACTGTAATTGCTGCAAAAGGTGGCTCTACAAAGTATTGACTTTTGCGGGATGAATAGTTATGCACGCTCAAGTTTTCTGTTATTTTTTGTTTGTTTCACCCCCAAAAATATTTTGCATCTTCAAAGTGGTAGGCATGTTGTGTAAATGAAATGATACAAACCCCCCAAAAATCCATTTTAATTCCAGGTTGTAAGGCAACAAAATAGGAAAAATGCCAAGGGTGGTGAATACTTTCGCAAGCCACTGTAATAAAACATCCTACAGGCTCTTTTAAAGAGAGGGAGGACAAATCCGGGAAATAAAGGTGCTGAGCCACTCTATGGCACATACATCTATGGCTCTACTAGGATTGTCTAGTAACAACTTAACAAAGTCTGTTTTGATCTAACTCACTCCTCCTTAGTGAATTGTTATATTAGCAGTACAAGCCTGGCTTTTCATTTAGATGAATGACCACGCAGACCCTCCTAATACGACGTGTGTTATTCAATGACTGGTTGTGCGTCCACACAAAATAAAGGCATTTTTTAAGGAGTGGGGCAGTCCCAGTCCTTTTTGAGATTGATTGAAGAGATAGTAAAGTGTTGGAAAGAATAGGGTGAGTCAAAGGGCAGTATTCAAACCCATGCCGACTCTGGCATACATATGTGCCGAGGTCAGCGGCTGTAACCGCTGGACCACACAGGCCACACAATAGTGTACTATTTTTGACCAGCGCCCATAGGGACTATATAAGGAATATGGTGCCATTTGGGACACACACTTGGCTTCATATTCTATTATACATGGAATGAAATAAAAACTTTAATTAGCTCCTGAGACTTTGGATGGCTAACTTCTAGTACGGAGTCGGATTGCAGGACTGTATGTGGCCTCTGATTGTCTTCTTTCACTCTCTAAATCAGAACCAAATGGCGTGGCTGCACAGCAAATGGTCAGAGGAGAACATACTTTGTCTGCATCCCAAATGGCACCCTATTCCCTATACAGTGCACTACTTTTGACCAGAGACCTATGGGCCTTGGTCAAAAGTAGCACACTATAAAGGGAACAGGGTGACATTTGGGACGCAGACTTAGTTTCCAGGGCTTGCTAGGTTTTATGACAGTCAGATCCTATTCCAGACTCTGCTCTTATGCATCTCCAAATGGAACCCAATCACCTTCAATTACGTTCATTTCAAATGCAGCATAAATAGAGTTCTATATTTCCCTCTCTTCTACAATATAAAACACAGTACAGCAATAAATAATATCTAACAGATCTCCCAAAACAACTGCTACAAGACTGTAGTATAAATATTTTGTATCACTACTACACATCAGCTATAAGTAACATAAAGAGAATAGAGAAACTCACTTGAATAGAGTAATTCCAAGATGTCAGCTACTGTAGCTCCAATGTTGTGTTAAGGAGTCTTCTGACTGAAGGCACTACTTCTACCGGCACAGGGCTCTTAAGGAAGACCAGATGTCTCTGGGGACACGACTGTGTGTGGGGGGGAGGCTCTGGGGTGAAGCTTCCCCTAGGTACAGATTTAGGATCAGCTTCCCCTCCCCAATCCTAACCTTAACCATTAGTGGGGAAAATGAAAAGCTGACCCAAGATCAGCAACCAGGGGGCCACCAGAGGAATGCTGGGTAATATGCTCTCTTTTCTCCACCCCCTTCGTCACCCCATAACCCACTCTGCTGGCATAATGCATTATCCTGCTGTGTGTGTGTGTGTGTGTACACATGCCTGTGTGTGCGGTCATATATTCTTGGAGATGTTTATGTACAATGTCTGCAATTCAGCATCTCAACCTAAGCAAGACGCCACTTTTGGCACAGAACAGCATGCAAAATGACTTCCTGTTGGTCAAAGGGGTGTGCTACCCATATGTGAACAACTCATTTAAAGGCACTTGAAGTAAATGAGATGAGTCAACCTAAAGTCACATTAAACTAAGATGTGTGTCCTCTGCTTACATTTTCAAATAAGCATTTTAAGAAGCCGTATCCTGTGAGGCTCAGAGGCTGATTACATGTTTAGTTCAGCAAAGTTAAATGACTATCTCTTAGAAGTAGCACTGTGGCATTGCCAAAGCTATGCAGCAGCATATTAATACAACTCTACACAACTGAAGGCGTTTGTCATATTGATGCAAATGAAGTGCCCTCTGCGTTATTAACAAACCCCATTTCTAATCCTGTCAATAACAGTGTGTGCGTGTGTGCGTGTCTGTGTGTGTGTTTGTGTGTGTGTTAAACAGGATGGTATTTGTTGGAGGATTCTGTAATCTCGCTATGCTAAGGAAATTAATTCAAATTAAGGCTAGCAGCAAGCAGGCAAAGCAGGGGGGTGGGGCAAAGTATGTTTGTGTGTGTGTGTATGTTTGTGTGTGTGTGTGTGTTTTTAAGAAAGAGCTAGCAGTCATTGGTCTAGTTGTGGTTAATAGCCTCATAATCACAGTGTGGTCGTGTTGCGGTCCCCTACCTAGCGAGCGGTCCCTGGTTTGGTTGGTGGAGCGCACTACAGGCAGGCTGGCACGGGAGCGGCTGCCTCTGGTGAAGGCGGTGTGGGCATCAGCCTCTGACATGGTTTCCAGAGACTCCAGAGAGGCCAGGGAGAGGTGCTCAGGCTGCTCCCCTACAATGGAGCTGCTGGGGCCGTGCGCAGGGCTTCTGCTCTGGAGGGGAGAAGAGGAGATATACGGTCAATTAGAGGGATCATGATACACAGGAATAGGGTTGGAAAAACTCTGGTAA